CTACAATAGACCCTCCAAAGCTGCTTCCTTAAAATTATTTTTTTATTGCTAATATTAAATTTCTACGCTATGCCTGCATTTTCACTAAAATTGAAATATCTCACAAACTGTAAGTCCTAGGTATGCAGAACCTTTAATAAAGTTCACCTATTTTTTTACGGTGCTTTCAAAAATGCAGTAAAATACAGGGTGTTCCATTAAAAAAAAACATAACTTTGATATGGTACGCTTTTCCTGGACTCCCTGTATATTTCAAAATATTTTTAAAATGTAGCCGTAATCAACCTACAGATACCCACCTGTACAGGTTTCTGTAACATTTGCCGTTTGGTCACTAGCGACCGAGGCGTTACTGGTGGCCCACCCTGTAGATATCAGAGAATATTAAATCCATCGACAGTCAGTCGACTTTTTCTCAAATAACTACAAAAATGATATCGTGATTTATAGATTTTTTTAATAAAAACATTAATTTGTAGATTTGTCTATAAACTGAAATTTATTTTTTCAAGATTAATTTATTGTAGTACGTAAAGAGTGACCGCAAAAATCGCCCGTTTTTTCAAAATTCGCAGAGAAGTAAAGAAAATAGATAAAAATATGTTTTTGGTTTCAAATTACTCGTCGTAAAAAATTAAGATGAGCATAGCATTGTTTTTTTTGAAAATTTTCAAAAATCACCCCTATTTATGGATTGAAATGACTGGGTGAATTTTTCTATCGAATGATTCTTGATACAAAGAAAAATTTAATCTCATGACTGAAATAAGCATGTTGAATTAGAAAATCCGCCCTTAAGTGCGCTCAGAGGGTGGAATCATCCCCAAAAATAGAGAATATCAGATATAATTGTAAAAATCCCAAAAAAAATATACTAAGATAATTCACATGCTAATAGTTTTTATAACAATTGGTAATATTAAAATTCTTCATTTTTGGCATTTTTTGAACCCTAAGTAGGGGCGATTTTTTAAATTTTCAAAATACTAAAAGCTATGCTCATTAATTAAAAGTAATTTGCGACCAAAAACATATTTTTATGTATTTTTTAAATTCCCTGTGAATTGTGAAAAAACGGTCGAAAATCACAGGTTTTTTGCGGTCACTCTTTAAATCAACATTTTGGATTGTAACAACAAACTACGTATACTTACGTTTTTCCACGCAGTACAAACTTTTTATGTAAAACAACGAAATAAATTATAATAGTAATCTTTAATCAATAATAAAATCAATCAATAAACAAATTAAGCAGTCACATTTGTTGTTTGTTTCCGATGCTCAAAAATATCTTTTGAAAAAATAGAATTACTTTTCCAACGGCTCAGACCTAATTAACATTTTTTGTTTATTTTTTTGGTCGTAAATCTTTTTTTTTAATAAAAATATACCACTAAAACCACATAAGAAATATTATATGGAAATTATACTCCTTTTTTCCGATAGCAAGACATTTATTTACGAGTATATTAAGGGAGAGTTTATTTTTTTAGCACCATAAATCTAAAAAAAAATAAGATTTTCCTATAGTACTGCTTTCTTAAGTACATTTTGTACAGTATGCACATATAACAGGTGTAAGTAGTAGTGTTAAGATTTTTGATACATCATCACTTAAAATATTAAATAATAGCCAGATAAAACCTCAACCAAAATCCTTTGTAGGATGTAACAAAACAAACAAAAATTGTTAGATCGTTTCTGAGCTACTGCCAACATTTTTTTTTAACTTCAATAACTGCAAATTAGCGTTTCATTGCTTTTCGCAATTTTCGAAAGTGAGACGAAAACCAAAACCATACTCACCCCTGACTTGCTTCCCTGTCTCCAAGTTCCTGCAGGCCATGATCACTCTCGCCCCCCTCTTGGCGATCTCCGTCGCCGTCTCCTTGCCGATACCCCCGTTCGCTCCGGTGATGATCACCACCTTCCCGTCCATCCTCGTCCGGCCGTGGTAGTACCCGCAGGAGATGTACGCGTAGAACCGCAGGAGAGAAACGGCGGTCAGAGAGACGACTACTGCGACGCAGATCAAAGTTTGGATTACCGGACAACTGAGGTCGACCCCGAAGACGATCATACTGGAAAGACGAGGAAGCGGTCAGAGAGATGTGGTACGCAGCCTTGGGTCGGATGGTATTGGGACTCGATAAGTTCGAGATCGCGTTCGCTCGTGCTACAAGGTGGTCCATGTTGTGCAATTTAGTATTTGCTCGATAATTTATCCATAATTATGGTTATGCTATTTTGAAGTATGTATATGCTTCGCACTTAAAAGTAAATGCATTTGCTTTGGTAGAAAGCGGAAATTCATATCATGTGGATAAAACACAAGCCAGTGATTTTATTTGAAACAGTAATTTTATTTTCTTGGCGTTGGCAATAGACTCTTTTAGTGTGACGTCACATATTTAGGCAACCCGCAACAAATTGTCATAGTTGAAATTGTACAGATCGAATCTGAGCCTTGTTTACTATTTTCATAGATACTATAGAAATGAACAACTTCAAATTAACTTATTTTTACAAGGACTAATAACTGTTTTACATTGACAATTTATTGATCAATTAATTCATGAAGTCGCTTCATCAAGAAATTGGACAAGTGTAAGGCACCAAATCTGGTGTCAAATAACTTGATTAATATATGCATTAAGTTCTTGACGAATTAGAGCATGTTCTAATTTTCGTCAATTTCTTCGTGAAGTTCGGAAGTACCAACCCAACAGATTTCCAGCCTCAGATCAGTAATGAGGTTATGTTATTGGAATATGTAAATAATTGCGTGGCGTCGTGCTAGTTTTGCATTGTTTTTACTGATTTGTTACTTACAAACACTAATATTTATATAATATCTGTCAAAACGGTACCGCTGTTGTATCACTACAATTATGAGTGGAAAGGTGACATTTTTGAAATTTATTTGCTTCTTTGATTTGTTGGTAGAACTGATTCATAAGTCAAAAAACTTGACAAAGTCTGTAACAGTGTAAAACCACACTGTTTACCAATAAATTCGTGAATTAATTCATGAAGAACTTTGTCAATTTATTCATGAATAAGTTGTCAATATAAAACAGCTATTAGAAGTATTTAAAAACAGTCAACACATGCTTAGTAAAATAGATACACTAATGTGCTTAAAATTTAAAACTAAATTCAATTAAAATAAAAATTTAACATTCCTAATGCGCATACTCGGGAAGAATAGCCTCATACGTAGGCGAGATCTTGTTGATTTGTCATCGCTGTCATCATTACCGTATTTTCTCTTCTTTTGTTTATTCTTGGCATTTTCTAGTTCTACCAAGTATTTTTATTGTTTTTCTTGGTGCTGTACTGTGTCAGTCTGTTTATCGAGTGTTTTTTTTCTGCAAGTGTTTATTATAGCCTTACTCTTAACCAGAATCAAACTTTTCTTGACTGATATCTTGTTGCGAGACTACTTCACTTACATGAAATTATCTTTAATTCGCATGCTCAGTAACATTGATATCATTGTAATGTATTAATTACTATAAAAGTCAATATTGTTCTATAAATTTAAAAATATAAATTCTATAATTCTATATTAGTTTGTCACTTGGGGTTTGAAGCTTCTTAAATATTTCTAATATTGCCAGAATATCGCGATATTTTAGGTCATGGCAAAGAAAGCACTTTTTTGGCAATTATGTCCAAAGTACATAACGTCGAGAATTGATTTAGTAAAAATATTGAGAAATTCTTCATGACAATGTGTACTATGGAGTTGCCTATTATTTGGCTTATGTGAAATCACTACTAAAAATATCTATTGTAGGTATTTTGGTAAAATTAAAAATACTAAAACAATAAAATCAAATTTACGTTCAAACTCGACATTTTCTTTTACCGGCTGGTGATTAGCGACAAAGTCAGGAAGAAAACTATATGATAACATTGATAACTAAGTTATTATTTTTACAAATAAAGGTGCAGTCTACAAAAAAGTCCATTAGAAAGTGCCATAAAAATGCTCCATGATAATAATTCACGTTTAAAGAAGTTACATCTACTCTAACACTCTATCGTATACAATTTTGTCAGAACAAGCAGCTTTTTTTATGAAGAATTGCATTTTCTCGTAAATTTACAAATAGGAAATTTCTTTAAAATACAATCGCGAGATGGGACACAATGTATACGTACACATGATCTTCTATTTTAAAGATAATATTTAGGATTATATCTTTTGACTTATCAATGTCAATCAGTGTAACAGACATGGGGCACACAATTAAAAAAAATCACCCTCTATGGTTCGATTCTAGCACCCAGTGAATAAATAATAATATAATGGAAATAGATCTTATGTCGTAACAGTTATTTTAATAATTAATTATTTCGTGTCATCACTAAACCATTATTATTACATTAAATTAGCAAGTGCATGTTCAACTTTTATTTATGATGTGCCAATATAAATTGCTTTCCAAACAATAACTATGACGACGGGCGGTAGGTAAACAATAAAATAAATGAAATGTTTAATTTAATTTATAGGTTTTTAATAGATGAGTAGACATATACGTATACTGTTTTTTTTATATTTCTTTCTTTATTTCGATTCAAAATTAATTAATAAACTAAAATTGAGACAAAATAAACGCAAAAAAATGTAATTTTAATACTAACGTTCAAACTTTTCCTGTTGGGGATTTACTCTGACCAAAAAAACTACTTCGATAAGTATGAAACAAACAAGATGAAGGCCAAACATTAAGGAAGACTGGGTGATTAAGGCAGGTCTAAAAAGCAAACCTAACCGATTCAAAATTGTTGTAAACGCATTTGTATGTATTCAAGAAACTTTTAATATTTAATAGTTTTATACAAAGTTTACAAAGTGACTCTAATTTGGCTGGAAATGCAAATGCATCTAATTATCAAAACGGCTCACAAAGAATTCCTAGTCTTTAATTTATAGGTAGTTCCTTTAATATTAATGAGTTTTACTTTGCCTCGTTAGCGTAGAGTAGGTAAATGAGGTAATCGAATTCAGTTAGTAGTTCTGTTTAAAGTTTAATTTGTAAGTGGGTCGTTAAGAAACTTGAAGAAATTATGTCCGTATAGAAGTATTGTTTAGTAATATCCTACTCGTTATGTTAAGTACTTCATAACGACGTTTTGTAGACAACGTATAGATTAGTGGTTACAGGATGAGCTAAGAATATTTTGTATTCCAGCAAAGAGGCAAAAAGTTAGTTTTTTTTTTCTATTTATTTGTATGGTTTTGTGTACAGGATTGATTACCTTCAATCTGTCTTTTATGTTTCAGGTTTGAAAAGCAACAGTTGACGAAAGTTTGATTTGATTTTTGCAATATATAAATAATGAACATATAACAATAAGTTAATAGAATAAGTACAGTATAATATTACAGATTACCCATACGATTAAACGTATAGTTCTTTCTCATAAAATGGTGTCTCTGTCTATGTAGATGTAAATTATATGCCTACTTACTTGTCAAATTCTAATGATGTGATAGAGATTTCTGATAGGTGCAACTGTCACAGGAAAACAATTCACACAACGTTGGTCAAAGAAAGTGATACCGGTGTTTCACAAACGCATGCCGGGCACTCCTGACTAAGCCAAGTGCTTCACTGGTACAGGGTACTTTCACCTTGCAAGCAGTACTGCCCACAAGACAGAGACACGTAGCATGTTCCGGTTCATGGACATGGTAGTACGGCGATGAACTAAGCGAGATCTGGTCAATTTGTTTGTTGTTGGAACAATGCTAGAATGAGATGAATTATTCGAATAGCGTACTATTTTACGAAATTTATATTTTTTTACGCGCCAAACATTAATAATAAACCTCGCATTTCGTTTGTTTTATTTTTATAATGTTCGAAGGGTTTTATACACAAATTAAATCGACCAAAAACGGCTCAATTTTCATTGTAATCATCCAGAGGAGTGAGCGTTGTTGAAATAATAAATCCCGGTTCGGTACTGTTTTGTATTTTTTGTAAACCCTTTTGAGCGTCTATTTACGCGATGCAGACATAGAGATAAATAATGTAAACAAAATCCCCCGCCTTTTTGCATTTTTTGCTCATGTTTTTTCAGAACTATCAAAATTAAATGCGGAAAATTGTACGAATTTTTTTGTATATTATTTTTAATTTATACGGCACAAGGTGTGACCCCAAGTCCATATTTTTGTAATTAAGTTATTAATAAGAAAATTCAATGTTCAAGGTGGACATATACGTTATAGAGTCAATCAATAACGATTACAGTGACAGTATCCATCATAAAAAAATATAATTACAAATGAATATATCCATAAATTACAAGGATACCATGAGATGTGTTAATTAATTTTTAATAATATTATTTAACATGTATGTATAGGGTCGATAATTTCCTGTGGTCTTAAAAAGCAACGTCAATTTATCAGATATAGCCACTGAACCTCAAAACTAGCTCAAATCTACCTCGACTGAAGTAATTTTTCGCAAAAATTGCATTTGTCGAAAAATACAGGGCATACTTAAATGGTGTTATAGCGACTGATTCATAAGAAACCATTTGTCTCAAAAATCAAGCACTTCATTTAAAAATAGTAAGAGACCTTTTGCTGTAGAATAAATCGCAATGTAAAAAAATATATTCATTTTGAAAATTTTCCAATGGCGTAGAAATTATATTAAAAATAATGTTATTCGTAGCCCGTTACGGACGCCTATAATTGATCTATTTTCACAATAATTTGTAAAATCGTTAGAGATTTTCATTCGTATACTTCATACTAAATATAAAACAACTGGTTTTCATAATTTAAGAAAAAATAAATAAAAATTAAAAAAAATTATTTTTCAAGATCTTATATCTCAACAAGGAAGCCTTTGGGAGAAAAAGTGTATACTTCAAAATAACACTATTTTGACGAGATCTATAGATAGTTAAAGTCCTAATCATAAAAAGTGAATCACCCTGTATAATCAAAACCCAAACAAACATTTTTTTGGACGCCCTGATCTCAAGAACGGAAGTTGCGGTTAATATGAACTTTTTATTTTAAAATTAGAATTAGTCAAAGATTCACCCTTCAAAGTTTGTACCTAATAAACACCCTACATATGTATATGTACAAGCTGGTCCATTTTCGATGAATTCAGGGTGTATTTGAGAAACTACTAAAGATATGATAAATCTGACACGACGTTCTCGAGCTCGATTTTCATGGCAAACTCAATTGTCAAATCAGAAATTTGCTATGTTCATTTGTTTTTGAGTTACAGGGCGTTTCTTGTTATTGTCACATTTGTGAACATGTCTGTATCTCAGCTGTTAAATAAGTTAGAATTAAAATGAAAACTGCTTAACACTAATTCTTTGGTGTAAAACTGAATGCCAGTATTATGATCCAGTTATATTTTTTTAAATGGAAATCGTAACTGACCATGGCCTAAAAAAATAAAGATTTTTTTTTGCTTTCTAGTAATATATCGCATACTATAGTTATTTTTACAAACACAGGAGATACAAGGTGTTTTATGTATAAATTATATATGTTTTTTCTTTTTGATATGGCTGGCTACGAAAATACATATAAAACTATAATTCCTACTTTTACAAAACTCATATCTGTTGTAAAAATATGACGTTCTGTATATATTTTCATAGCCAGCCATATTAAAATATAAAAAAGGATCGAATTTATATATAAAACACCCCGTATCTTCTGTGTTTGTAAAAATAAGTATAACGTGATATATTGCTGAAAAGCAAAAAAAAATCTCCATTTTTTTAGGTCATGACCAGCTACGATTTCCATTAAAAAAAAATATAACTTTGGGTCATGACTCTGGAATCTTAAGACCTACTAAAAATCTAATACTGCCATTCAATTCTACGCCAAATAATTAGTCTTGAGCAGTTTTCTCTTTAACTGTAAACTGTACCTTATTTAACAGCTGAGATACAGACATATTCAAAAGTGTCACAATAACGAGAAACGCCCTGTAACTCAGAAACAAATGAAGATAGCAAATTTCTGATTTGACAATTGAGTTTGCCATGATAATCGAGCTCGAGAATGTGGTGTCAGATTTATCATATCTTTAGTAGTTTCTGAAATACCCTGAAATTCCACCGGAAATGGACCAGTCTGTACATAATTATGGTTAAAAAACAATGTTTACAAGAAAGAGAACCACTAGTCCTTTTCAGTATGTTTATCTTAACCGTTATCTACTTTCATACAGCAAGTTTGGTTAATTCCAAATCATAAAAACTATTTTCCGTTAATTTTGCTACCTGTTAAGAAATAATTAAATAAGTCCTTGCACCAGAAGCAGACAAACAAAAAAATACGTTCAATAAATCGCGCCACAGTTAACGATTCGAAAAACAATTTGTTTCCGTTCTTTAAACTAAGAAAGCTACGCAGAGTAATTTCATATGCATCTTTCACCGTTTAATCACCCCCCCCCCCTTTTTAATTTTCTTTTAATGGTATTATTTNTCTCTTTTAATTTTCTTTTAATGGTATTATTTTCCTTCTCTAAAGCACTGAAAGCATTTTGATTCTAATAGAACACCTGCGTATTTTTACTGCTAACAAGCAATACTAATTTCTGTTCATTTTTTTTGTAATCTAGACTTCATGCAAGGTTATAAATTATATTAGGTACTGTATTAAAACAGACAACTTCGAGGGAGTCCACGATAAACAGCATTTTCGCAATGCAGCCGGCGTTCAGCTTGTCAGCAAACATATTGTAGGCTATTATTCGACATAGTTTCGAATTTCCCAGACAGAAAAAGTAGTTTTTCATGTCGGACGGTTTTTCTCGAGAATAATTTAATGTTTTCGGAGATCAGTTATTCAGACAGACAGTTACAGACGACGGAGATGTCGTTGTTGGTCCTCCACTGGCGTTTGATATTGTGAGGTCTTGGCGTCAACCATGAATACGGGATGTTCGGGTTATAGTATTCAGTATGATTGTAAAGTAAAATCTTGCTGTGATACTTAGGTAATTGATGGTATTTCTCATTAAAGATATTTTTATAAGGTACTTATACAGGGTGCAATTTTGAAAGGGGGTCATATTTATACGAAGGTACATTCGAATTTAAGAAACACGTATCATAAGTTTGTTTCTTCAAATTTTATTTAACATTTTTTTAGAAATTGTCATACTCCGCCGCTGGACAAGGTAGCGTGACCTCAAACAACGGAGTGCGTTAGTCACAGCATATGCAGTATGCATTGTTGTTTAGTATCATAATTTAAAAGAAAGGTTATTAAAAACCAATTTTTCACACCACAATATGGGCGGTACTGGTTTTTGATGCACTACTTTTATTTAATAGGTGTTCTCCATGAGTTCTGTCAATCCACATGAATGAAAATTCTTTTAAATAAGCTAAACCGTAAAATATTACATAACAAGTAGCCTAATAGAAAACTGAAACAGTAATAAATAAATAATGATAAATGAAATACACAAAAATAAGAAGTATACTCCCGATTTTAACAGCATATGATATACTTAAAGCACGCCTATTTATTACCCGTAAAAAACTGACCACCACTTAAAGGTACACCCTGTATCCACTCGCGATAGGTACAATACCAAAAGTGATACATAGTTGTAATATTTGAAGTGGTTAGATCAGAAAATAATAACTAGATATAAATGCGTATGGTTAGCGAGCATATAATAAAAAATATCATGGACAAGCCTTTTGTTATTAATATTAATCATAAATATGCAGGCAACAAATTACAAAACTGAAATATCTGAAGCCCTTCAACTAAAAATTGGAAAATATTATTGTGTTATATTCGCATGTCAAACGTATGCATGTTTCAATAATTTAAATTTATTGATACTATTTTATTTATGGAATTTTGATTTGAAGAGACCTTTTTTAGTTGCATGTAGAATTTATGTATTTGTAAATAATTATTAATTAACAACTTAGAATTATTCATATTTTGTACGTGTCCGTAAAAATAAAACAATTTAGGTTTGTTTCCAATGTGCTGCGAAATTTATTGCATTGCAAATTCTATTTTCAGTAAGATTCTTCCTATAAATGTTTCTAGTGGAAAGTTATTTTCCTCTTATAGCTAATATTTTAGATTTAAAACAAATGATTTATTAATAAAATAAAATAGAGACATTTTTTCTTTGCAATACAAAAAATGAACTTACTGAACTTACAAAATATTCATTGGCGTCGAAATTCTGAGTTTCTTAATAACGGTGTCTCCATTAATTTTTTTGTGGACCCACAACACCTTGTATCTCGAAAACCGCTAAGATTATGAAACAAAGTACCATTGTTCATTGTTGTTCTATTCGCTCCCGAAGTCTGATATACAGGGTGTTCTGAACGTCCGTCAGGAAACTCCGGGGGTGATTCTACGAATTAAAGTAGTAAGAGTATCTCATGAAAATTTTTTTCGAATTGTCAAGTGTTTGCAAGTTACCGCTTGTCAAAGTTCGATTTAAACAGAGTACACTATTTTTTCTGATATTGTTTCTCTTTTATGAACAAAACAAATTTCTAGTTCTAGGTAAAGTGTCCTCTAGCAGTGCATAATGAAACTTTTCCAATAAAGCTTATAGTGGGTGTGCCAAATACGAAACTAATAGAACTTGAATTAAATAAGTTATTTAAATAGAAAACTA